ACAACCTTCGAACGTCTTCTTAAGTGCCTAGTATTAAACACGTATGAACTCTTTTAATCCTCACAGCTCCAACAGTGGGTACTATTGTGATACTCATTTTATAGATTATAAAATTGAGACTCAAAGAGGCTAGATAACTTGCTCATGATCACTACTGCGTGACAATCTCCCAAGTGTCTGTCATGTTTCTGCCCGGCTTATGAGCGGAGATGCTGAGTGACATTGTTTTGGATTAATTTTTCAAGGATATGTGTGCAGTGATCAGTTTTGGAAAATAGCATCATCCGCTGGAGCAAGAGTCAGGTACATTTATTGCCCAACACAAAAGATTCAGATTTATTCTGATAAAATTCCTCTATGATAAACCAATAACCAACATCATACTAAATGGCCAAAAACTGAAAGCTTTCACTCTAAAATCAGGAACAAGACAAAGATGTTCACTATCTCTGCTCTTATTCAACATAGTTCTGGAAACTTTAGCCAGGGCAATTAGACAAGAGAAAGAAATAACAATAGGAAAGGAAGAAGTAAAACAAAAATTATTTATGGAGAACATAATACTGTGCATAGAAGACTCCAAAAACTCCACTAAAAAACTGCTAGATTTAATAAACAAATTCAGTAGCATATAAAGTCAACGCTCAAAAATCAATAACCTTGCTATACACAAATAACAAACTCACTGAGAGAGAAATTAGGAAAACACCTTTCACAATAGCATCCAAAAAATGAAATACCTAGGAATCAATCTAATGAGGGAAGTGAACAACCTCTATATTGAAAAGTACACTACACTGAAAAAAGACATTGAAAAGGATTCAGAAAATGGAAAGGTATCCCTTGCTTTTTGGTAGGAAGAACCAATATGGTGAAAATGGCCATATTTCCAAAATTGTTATACAGATTTAATGCAATCCCAATCAAAATTCCAACAGCATATCCCACAGATCTAGAGAAAACAATCCTAAAATTCATTTGGAACCAGAAAAGACTCACAGTAGCAAAGGCAATGCTGGGCAACAAAGGCAAGGTGGGAGGCATCATAATCCCTGACTTGAAATTATACTACAAAGCTGCTGTGATTTAAAAAAAAAAAAAAAAACAAACAGCATGGTACTGGAAAAGATAAACAGACCCAAGGATCAGTGGAACAGATTAGAAGATGCAGGAACAACTCCAAGCATACTCACCCATCTTATCTTTAACAAAGGGGCCAAACACCCTCACCGGAAGAAAGATAGCCTCTTTCATAAATGGTGCTGGAAAAACTGGCTTTCCACATGCCAAAGACTAAAACTAGTAGTTTTAGTCTAAAACTAAAGACTAAAACTAGACTAAAGACTAAAACTAGACATTGTAGTTTTCAATGTCTCTCACCATGTACTAGTTTAGACTTTAGTTTAAAGTCAAAATGGATCAAAGACCTAAATATTAAAATAGAAACACTAAATCTTCTGGAAGAGAGACTAGATAGAACTCTTGAAGACATAGGTGTAGGCAAAGACTTTATTAACAAAATCCCAATCGCATGGGAAACATTACAAATAATTAACAGCTAGGATCTCGTCTTATTAAAAAAGCTTTTGCACAGCAAAATAAATCATCAACAGAGTGAAAAGATGACCCATAAAGTGGGGAAAGTCTTAGTCAATTATTCCTCAGACAAAGTTCTAATATTTTGAAAAAAAAAAAAATATATATATATATATATAAAGAATTTTAAAAAATCAGACCCCCCAAATTTGAAGACCCAATCCAAAAATAGGCATCTGAGATGGATAGACACTTCTCAGATGAAGGAGTACCAATGGCAAAGAAATATATGAAAAAATGTTGAGCATCACTGGTCAGTCGAGAGAAGCAAATTAAAACAATGCTGAGATTCCACCTCATTCCAGAAAGAATGGCTATTATCAAGAAATTGAACAATAACAAATGTTGGTGAGGCAGTGTGGGAAAATGAACCCTTTTCCACTGTTGATTGTGTAGATTAGTGCAACCACTGTGGAAATCAGTGTGGAGATTCCTCAAAAGGAATTGGCTTGGATTGGAGGTCCCATTTGACCCAGCTATTCCTCTTCTTAATATCTTCGCAAAAGAATTAAAAGCATCATACCACAGTGATATATGTGCACACGTGTTTATTGCAGCACAATTTGTAATAGCTAAATCTCGGAAACCACCAAATGCTCATCAACCAATGAGTGGATAATAAAGATGTGGTTTTTTATACTATGGAGTGCTACTCAGCCATAAAGAAGGATAAACTTGAGACATTTTTATGTAAAAGGGTGGACCTTAAGACCATACCCTTAAGTGAAATAAATCAAATATACGTGTTCAAATATCTCACTGTCTCTGGTGTGAAAAACTGAAAGTATAAATAAGAGCCAACTGTATAATAGAAATTGTGTAATATGAAGAAATTGTTCAAAAGAAAAGGGGAACCAGAGAGGCGGGGAAGGAAGGAAAAAGAAAAAATAAGAAAAAAAGGATAAAATGAAGACAAAACTTTGTAAATAAGGAAGGGAAGAGGAGTAGAAGTGAGGGGAGGGGAATGGGAAAAAAAAGAAAAATGAAGAAATATCATGGACAGGAACAAATTCCCTATGATGAATGTGATTGTTATGTGTATCTAAACTGTACAAATAAACTTAATTTTCAAAAGATTAAAATTTATTAATCTCAGTGTTGTCGTCCAAAGCATGTGCAGGTACCACCTGGCCCTCTTTAAGTGCCTCCTACAGGACTCAGGAGCAAGAAATACTAATACAAGAAAATGCTGAGATATATTGGCTAATATTGTTGCTATAAGAAATTAAGGCCCTGATCAGTGACCCAGGAGTCTTGTATCAGGCTGGGGATATAGCTCAGTGGTGCAAGTGCCTGCCTGGCAAGCAGAATGTCATGAGTTCGATTCCCAGTACCAACAAAAAGGAGTCTTGTCTTCTGCCAACATCCATGAAAATGTGGCCAACTAACTTGTTAGTTAGTAAGTAAGATAAAATCTCAGGGTGTTCTCACACAGGTGAGAATCAGAACTAGAAATGCACTCATGCCTATTTCACTCTAGAATTCACACTCCTTCCTGCGATGATGTGGCTTCTTGAGTTGTACTCAAGTTTTATGAGTGGGTGTCCCATTAGTCAAAAAAGAAGTTTAAAATTATTGGATTGTCTTTCCTTCTGTCTCCTAGGTTAATGCAACTCTTTATCATCCTATTTTCTTATTCATACTGTTTTTCCAGGGCTATGGGTCTTGCAGTAGTCAGTATTTTGCCAAGCAGATTTATATTAATGGAAAGAATTCCCAGAGGACACAGTTGGAACACCTTAGACACTTCATAAATAACCAGCTAGGTTTAGCTCTTTGTGGGATACTTGCCCAAGTATTCCTGGCCTTGCCAAACTTTACATTAAAAGAAAGACATAAGGCCTTCTATATTCCTGCTGGGGCACCTGCTCAGTATGTAGCTCAAGTAGTTTGGAATCCTAAAGTCACATTTCACATACTTCTAACCCCAAATTAATTGTACAAAGCAGTTTCCAGAGCAATTTCTAAATTTATAATCTTAGGAGTCTTAAGCATCCCTTTTTGTTCATTTAGGTCTCTTGCTCTCATTGTCTATGGACTCTGTTATCGTCATCAGTATTGAGGTGTTAGGCAATCATCCTCTCAGTTCACTAACACTAGAGAAGCAGCTGCCAGCATGGAGCTGGCGAAAGGAGAAACAAGAAGCCGTGGAGGAGTGAGGCCATTCTCACTTATCACATCCTCAGAAGGCTGCTTTAACAGAAGGCCCGCTGATGCGTCTTACATTTTCACCAAAATGATTACATGTCATTCTCACAACAGCACTTTGAGGATGGACACTAAGGTCCGAAAAGATGAAGGGTCTAGTCTAACATCACACTGTGCTCTGGGGCCGGACTTCCTTTTCTTATCCTGAATATTTAGCAAGTTCAAGGGTAGTTTTAAGGAGGTAGAAGGATAGGAGCATTAGGATAAAGATTCTTTTACTCTGACAGATTTTTGTTATCCTGCTCAAGAGATAAAAGCTCAGGGAACAAAGAGCAAGGAAATGTCAGTCTTAATCCATGCCATGCCGTGCTCCCTTCCAGAGGTAGAGTGGAGGGGTCATTTAGGTGTCTTAAAGACTGGTGTACTGCACAGATCTCCCCACGACCTCCTGCTGTTCCCTCCTGGGACCTACCAGCAGTTATTGCTCCTATCTACTAAGGATGGTTGTTTAACTTCTCCACTTCTGGGAATAGATTTACTGAATTGGACTCTATTCGAGCTGGAGCCAGAGATGGTAGCAAGAAAGCAATCCAGAAAAGGACTACACACGTTGAGGTTTCTGCTACCTTAAACCAAGCGAGGAGGACTGGAGATGGGAAAGGGCAGCTCTTTCTACCCAGGCATCTACAAGGTAAAGAGGGTCTTGAAAAAGTGGACACAGAGTCCCTTTTCTTCACTCATGTGTCTGCTTGAAGAGGTAAGAGACAAGAAAACATTAGCTTATTCTTATTCCTAGCCTGCCAGCTCCTCGGGTAGACGGCAACATGTCCTAGAAATATTTTTTTTGCAGTGTGAGCATAAGTTCTCTAAAGGGTAAGAACCTCATAGGGGGTACACTAATTTAATCCTTTTATCTTATATAAGAGAGGTCCACTTCGGATATCTCAACCAAAGAAAGATTATGAGGAGGATAAACATTGCTTGGGAAATCACTAGATTCCAATGCAGCTCCAGGGAGCAACATCTTGTTCTCCTCCTCTCCTCTAATGTTCTTGCTTCCTTCTAAAACTTTTTGTCTGTTCTCTTCTTGGCACTGACTGGAAAATTCTCCCCATAATCTGTGGAAACAATTCCATAGGGTGTTAGTCTGACTTTTTCAGCTTGTTATTACCAACCTGTATTGGTCACTTTTCTTGTTGCAGAGGAAATAAAATACCTAATCCCCACAATTCAGAGTAGAGGCTTATTTGACTCACAGTCTTGGAGGTTTTAGTCCATGGTCTGCTGGCTCCAAGGCAGGAACATCAAAACCAAAGGCCTTGTTGCAGCAAAACTGCTCACTTCATGGTGGTTGGGAAACAGAACATTGTGTCAGAATGTCAACAAGAGATACAACCTCTAAAGCCATGCTCCCAGTGACCCACCTTCTGTGTATGGACTCCACCTTCTAACAACACACTGTAAACAGCAGTGGATTGCTTTACTGATGAGTAAAGCGTCCCTTGATCCAATCACCTCTCTAGATGTCTTTTAATCCAGCCAAGTTGACAGTCAAGATGACCTGACACATAATTTATTGAATTAAGATTTTTGTGCCAGGATATTTTATATATCATTAAAATTGTGGAGCTCATTCCCAGTATAGTCAAGGTAACCTACACACAATAACTAACTGAATTTGCCTTTCTAAGCAGGGGGCAGTAAGTAGAGTGTTGGACATGGGAGACACCATGACTGATAGGTTTATATAACTTCCCTCTGAAGGTTTAAATCAGCCTTGGTTAAAACTCACATATGACATATTCCACCAAACAGGAGAGAGACAGGGTCAGTTGTTTAAGTATATAGAACAAATAACAGTCCATGCCTGTGTTTCCCAACTCACAGCCCTTGATTCCTGAAGCAGATTCATCTCCGTGCTTGTTAAACCTCCCAATTTCTGGTCCTATATTTAGATCTGTAGAATCAAAATTTTGGAATTAGCATCAAGGGTTGTGCACAGTTAGCAAGTTCCTTATGTGACTGTACACTAAAGTTGAAAACCTCTGCTCTCTATTCTTCAAGTTTCACTCATGTTATTGCCTCTTGCTGTACAGTTCTTTATTCCCATCTCTGCTTGGTGAAATCTTGCCCCTTTGTCGAGGCCAGGCTGATATAGCTGCCTTTAGGAACTAAATACTTCAGAATCTATCTCTTAAGAATAAGCATTCTTGCATTGTCTTGTATAAGCATCATTATCACATCTAAGAAATTTGTTAGTTGGACAGAATAACATGATCTGATACTGAGTGCATATTAAATACCTCCAATTGCCTCCAGAACACTCTAGTTGTTTGTATTGACAAGATTCAATCAAGAATCATGGATTTCATTTGACTGTCTTTTCTTTAGCCCCCTTCAGTCTAGATCTGGAGCAGTATCTTTGGCTGTTTTCCCAGTGACACTGATATTTTTGACGAGTCCAGATCATTTGTGTTGTATACAATCTGGACTTTTCTGATGTTTTCCTTATTGTTACATTTAGATTCAGATGTTTATTATTGTTTAATATTATGTTTATTATTAAACATTGTGGGCAAGAATACCACAGAAGTAATGTTGTTGATGCCCCAGTGAATCACAGCAGGAGGCCCTAATAAGTGATGCTAAATTTGATCACTTAGCTGAGGTGCATGTCTGCTGGAATTGCTCACTGTAAAGGTGCATTTTTTCCTCTGAAAATAGTAAGTAATCTTTGGATGACTACTTTGAGACTGCATGAATATCCCAACCCCCCTGAAATTTTCCTTAATGGTTTTAGAATCCGTTGATTTAGGTGCTGTCTTGACAAAGAAAAATCCTGAGAAGTCATGTGTTCTGGGAACTACTTTAATACGATGCGCATATGATACATATAATAATAATAATACTGATAGTGATAACGATCACCTTTTAGAGTGAACTAGGCCAGAAACTTTATATAAATTAAATCATTTGATTTTTATACCAATCTAATGATTTTACAGATGGGAAAACTGAAGTTCAGAGAGGTGAAGGTCACACAGCTATTAAGAATGGAAATTGAATTCAAATCCAGTTCCAATTATAGAGCTCAGGCTATTTTCTTTTGGAGGGGTATGGGGAATCGAACTTGGGACCTTGAGCTTGCCAGGCAGGCCCTGTGCCACTGAGCTGTATCCCCAGCCCCAGGCTATATTCTTTAATTAGCAATACTACCATTTGACTTCAGAATTATCTTGCCATTTTCTTTGGAAGAGTTCCAGGCCCACAAGCATTTCTGAGAGTGAGGAAGCAGGGACACTGGACTTTCAGAGTGGTGGAGGAGGTGGGTGAGATGGTGCGACAGAGAAATCACTTGGCATTCCTGTGGTCTTACAGCAAGTGAGTAACTGTGAAGGGCTGCTGCTGGAGAGACTTTTAGCTCTTGCGTATGCATCTGCCCTTGATTTAAGAGGCAGCTGAGAACCACCATAATTTCTGACTAGTACCTGTGAATCCAGAGTGGGCTCAGGTTGGATGAATATCAGTTACTCAGGGTGAGGAAATGCAGGTGATTGCTAATAAACGGGTTTGTAGAGTTTGAAGGAAAAGAGCAGTGTTTAACAGCCCTTCTGTGCTTGGCACACCGGGTTGACTATCCTTAGGTTTACAGCTTTCTCTCCAGCCTGCCACAGAGGAAAACTCTACCTCTTTAATCTAACTGGCTCAAGAAGACCTCTCATCTGTTCCCTCCATCCCTAGTAAACAAGGAAAAGACCCTTTAAATTTCCTCAAAATTTGTATAGCCCACAGTTTTGTCTACACACGATATTTCAAGTTTGGAAGAGTACTAAGAGCTCATCTAGCAAAGCCTTCCATCCTCTGGCTTGTGCCCTGGCAGTGGACGCTTACAGCATCTCTGTCCTGCAGTACCAAAGTTTGAGCAGCTCCAGTTGCTTCCTGACTTTCCAAGGCAGCTGGTCTTTCTCACCAGCTTTTAAAAACAAAAGTCTTATAAAATAAAGTAAAATCCATCTCTCCTGTACCTTCTAGCTTTTAGGGGCTATTTTATTCCTTTGAGGTCACTCAGAACAAGAGATAATCTTTTTCCCACATAGGCCCAAACCTCATACTCCAGAGGAACTAAAATTTCTAGCATCATTATTCTCAACCAGGACTCTCTCTGCAAGGACTCTTCTCCCCCTCTGGCTGTTCTGTTTTGATGGTTTGCGTTTGCAAGGCTCATTCTCCCAGCTGATGCTGCCCCACCTGTATTGTGCTGCTCCTCCCTGCCCAGCAAACAAGCAAAGGCTTTTAGGAAGCTGGACCCCTGTGGGTCCTCCACGGTGCCATCACTCTGCTTGCCAAAAGCCATTTGAGAGAGCAGATAAGCAGTGAGAGAGGTGTGCTGGGTAGGCACCAGTCTAGCTAAGGCAGAAATAGGCTCTAACTTAATAATCTGCTCATCACACACAGTAAGAGACACCCTGACTTATTCAAAGACACCGTGGGTGGTGCAGAGGATGAATAAGCATGATTCATGGCCACTCTGGCACCCGGGGCACAAAGAATAATAAAACCCAAAGAATTGTAGCCGCCTGAGTAGTAAATTAAGAGATCCAGGGCTCAGCTAGACGCTAGACATCAATGTTACCATGGCAATAAAGGGCTCCAGCGTTCAGCAGCTATTACAGAGCAAGCATCTAATAGGCTACTCTATGTCACAGCCAAAGCCCAAGGGGCGAGCAAAGAAGACTAATTAGCATACGCATTTATTACAGGCCTCTGCACACTTCTTCTCTTAATTCCAATTAGTTGTTTGTTTGAACCAGTGTCTCTTGCCTGCATTATACTCATTAGTGCCTTTTAGCCCCTAGAAATAGGCTTGAATTTCCACAAGGACCTTACAATTTCCCAAGCCTTCATTTTTTCCCTAGGGCTCTAGTCTTATACAGTCACAAACCCACGGCCTTCAGTCCCTCAAAATGAAAGTATCTCTCACTATACAGATATACTTGACAGATGGAAACCGCTCGGGAATGTGATGTGCTAAGGGTTCTTACAGGAGCCCAGTGAAACAGAGATCCGGGGCCATTATCTAGCATTGTGCAGGTCAAGGAAACCTGGCTCTAGCCAGTAAGCCTGCTGGCTATACCTGCCGGCCACTACTCAGAGGGTAGCTATTTCCGAGGGAGAGCTTTGGGCACTGGGGACCAGACTGGCATCATAAAGTCCAGCAATGACAATTCCAGCTTGAAGGATTGCCCCTCAAGGCCCAGCCCGAACCCTGACTATTCCGGACAAACTTCCTTGATCATTGTAGTCCCAAGTGAGTTCTCTCTCCCCCATGCACTCTGGAAAGGACACCCCTTGTTGGACAGCATCTATGAGCAGCCGCAGAGCCTAGCTTGGCCTGGAGCTTCCTTACCCAATGACTTCTGAATACACAGGTCACTATTGCAGGCAGGCACTGGGGTTCTAGAGAGTGCTCAACAATGCTTGTGTGAGTTCAGAAGCAAACAGCTCTTAAGCCTTACTGCATGTAAGGCTCTCAGGGTCTCCCTGAGGATTCAGCCAATCTCTGAGCTGGGAAAGTTCACAACTGCTCTTCGATGGCTCTAGAATGCTCTATCTCTGTACACACACACACACACACACACACACACACACACACACACACGGAACTAGCCCACAAGAGAGAGCATGAACTAGCCCATCTGATGGTAAAGTCAGATTCTCTGAAGGGTGCCACCATCTCTTCTTCCACTGGGAACAGAAGGACAGCAAGAGTACATAAGGTTGTTTCTGTCCCTGGCTGCCATTTTCTGCAACTGTGTGGTTTTACCAGAGCAAGCAAGGAGGACAGACAAAGGCTTACAAAAGCTGCTGCCAGTGCTTGTGTGGGCATGTAGTTTTAGATGTAGATTATTTGCCTTTGATCTGCTGACATAGTCAACACCTCTTTTTTGCTGGGAATGTAGCTCAGTGGCATAAGCACCTGCCCGGCAAGCGCAAGGTCCTGAGTTCGATTCCTGGTATGAAAAAAAAAAATCCTCTTTTTCGCCTTTCCCTCTTGCCTTTATAGCCACCGATCCATTTGCAGGCTCATTAGCCCCTTCTGGCTCCATTCTGCCACACTGCTAAGCATATTGCTTTATTTTTCTTCCAAAATTAACAGGAATGGTTTCTCTTTTAACTAGAGTTTTTTGAGCATGAACTTATACGGATTTTTGCTTTTGACATCCTGTGAGACTTGGTTCTTTTACCCCTCGCAAATGCTGACATTCCAGGAGACAGCCTAGACTACAGTTGAAATATACTGCAAGGGCTGGGGATATAGCTCAGCGGCACAAGCACCTGCCTGGCAAGGCACAAGGTCCTGAGTTTGATTCCCAGTACCAAAAAA